ATGAACTATTATCAGAAGACATAAAGAAGGCAGAGTTGCTCAATGACTACTTTGCTTCAGTCTTCACAATGACAACAACAATGAACTGTGACCCGACAGCTAACAATATTAATATAAACAAAGAAGGGGAAGAGCTGTTGATTGTGGTAACAGCACATCAGAGAGCTTTTGAGAAATTAAATTGAGTTTATGTTGTCAAAGCCTGACAAAATATCTCCCTGGGTACAGAAATAAATCTTGGAGCCACTAGCAATAATATCTGCAGCCATAGATGACAGACAAGTTCTCAGAAGACTGGAGAGAAGCTAACAGTGTCTAGCCTTAAAAAAGAAGAAAATGGAAGACCTGGAGAATTACAGATGGGATTAGCCTGACTTAAATATGCTAAAGTAACTTTTCAGAAGTTATAAAACAATCAATTTCTGAACCACAGGAGAAGAAAGGGGTGATCACTAGCAGTCATCATAAACTCATTAGGAACAAAGCATGCTAAACTAAGTTGATAACCTTCTCTGACAGAGTAACTAGTTTGGTGGATTAAAGAAAGAAGTGGGCATAATATTACCTGAATTTCAGAAAGACTTTTAACATAGTTCCACAATACATTCTTATAAGTAAACTGAAGAAGGGTGGGCTAGGGAGAATTACTGTATGGTGAATACATATTGCTTGAATTAACTGCAAGCAAAGAATAACTATAAAAGGATCAATGTTAAAATAACATGATGTCTCAATTCAGGTACCACAGGGGGTTCTTCTGGGCCCAACCGCCATGTACTTTTTTATTGCTGAGCTGGATGCTGAAACAGAGAGATTACTGATTACGTTTGCAGAGAATATAAAACTGAGAGGGCTTGCAAATACTTGGGAGGACAGAAAAAGAAATCTAAATGATCCTACTATATTGGAGAATTGGTCCAGAAAACAACAAAACTGAAATTCAACACAGAAAATCACAAGGAGCTAATAGGGAAGCAAAACCAAAAGCACAAATACAGACTCAGGAATAACTAGCTAAGCACTGCCGAGAAAGATCTAGAGCTCATGGTATATCGCCAATTCAATGCAAGTCAGTAGTGGGATGCAAGAGATAGAGCAAGAAAGATACCAACTGCAGGCTGCATTCACAGCACTGCCGTATACAAGACATAGGAAGTGACAGTGCCACTACTCAGTGCTGGTGAGGTCTCAGTTAAATCACTGCATACAGTGCTGGCCTCCACATTTTAAGGATATAAGGAAACTGGAGAGGAAGTGGAAGTGGGTAACAAAAACAAAATAAAGGGATTAGAAGGCAGGCTTTATTAGATGCGTTTACTCTGGAAAAAATTAGATTAAGAGAGACAACGGAAGTCTTAAAATATTTGAAAGGCTGCCATGAATAAGAGGGAGAACAACTTCTCTCTCTTGCCAGAGTGGGCAGGGCACAAGCCAATGGGTTTAAACTGCAACAATAGAGATTTGGATTAAATCTCAAAGGGGAAAAAAATCTTCCTAACTGTAAGAACCATAAAACAAAGAAAAAAGTTGCCCAAGGAAGTTGTAGAATCCCTTTCATCAGAGGTTTTCAAGAAGAGGCTGAACAGATATCTGTCTTAAATGGTTTGGGAATAACACATCCTATATCTATGCAAGGTGTTAGACTAAATGACCCTAGAGATCTCTTCCAATCCTATTATTCTATGGAGAAAACATGAAATATCAGTTCATAAGGACAGAGAGAAAGACTCAAGCCATTTCTGTTACGAATGCTATTCAGGTATAGGGTTTTACAGAGCCAGAAAACCCTAATGTGGATGCATCCTGTATCAGCAAAACTATACTTGATATACTTACAGCTCATTTTGACCTCATGCAAAATATCCCAGGTAAAAGGAGGGTTTATCCAGCAAAACTCCATCCACAGTAGGAGCTTTTGCTGGCACAAATATATTGGTCAGAGATATGAAGAGCTGCCAGCCCTGACCAACATGCGGCTTTTTTAAAACCTTTAAACATTCAACGTATTTTGCTGAAGGAAAAGCAGCAACCCTTTCTACAGACACAAACTAACACTCCAAAACTCCACTAAGGCTAGGTACAGACATTCAAAAAGTCCAAAGCAGAATCGATGCAAGTTCCTCAGCTTTCTTTAAATGGCATAGTTTAGATCAGTAACAAATCGAACACAAATATGCCCTGCAATGCAGTGGCAAATCTTAGACCATGTTCTGCCATTTTAAAACCACAGTGTGCACACCAAACTTCTGGTCTCATATGGGTATAGACACATTTCCAATCACTTATCCTGGTAAAAGTATAAAACCTGTACCTGGCTTAAGTTCTGCTACGATGAAAAAGTCTGTGTTTGCTGCAACTAAAGTCATTAGGAATACAGCTTGAAAATGTGAAAAAAAATGAGTGGTGGACTAGAATAAATATGAACACATTGTTAAAGCAGAAACTTCTTGTCATCTTTCTCTTAATTAAACAACTGGTGAGATCATAACTACAACTGCAGCAAACTGTTTAATCACAAATTAAGCAGCAGCAGCAGCAGCTATCAGTGTGATAACCTACCCACCCATTCAAAAGACAGCAAAAACAAGAATTCCACATGCAGTTTAGTCAAATGTAGTGCTTTCTCTCGGTCTTACCCCATTTTGAAGGGTTCCTTAAGCAAAATGACCTCAAATTGTTCTCATCCAGGATTTACAACTACCAAATTACTTAGTAGATTTCTCTCTTTTTTAAAAAAAAAATTCTACCACATCTTGTTCTTTTAGATAATTTTAAATAAAAAATATCAGTGGGCATAAAATCTATCAATAGGAACTTGCACTTGCAATTCAACTGCCATAGTCCTTAAAATTTAAGTAAATCAATGGCAGACAAGGTTATTTGGGTACATGTGAAATCTTTTATTAGACCAACTAAACAGTTGGAAAAATTGTTCT